TTACAATAATTTGTCCATGTGCACACATATGCATAAATGAACAGGATTAGAATATTCACAACTCTCCTCCTGACTTAAGACTTAGAGGTGTTGGCCATCAGGCTTCTAGGGTCTAACTGATGGAAGTGTTAGTTAGCAGCTAGACAGTTATGACATATACATCTGCTTGAGTACTGATTTTTACCTTCTTCAACAGACTTGTTCCATTTCTTGGCCCAATGCTTGAGTGCCTTTGCATAGGATTTCTCAATCTCACATCGCTCCTTGACCATCGTCATGAGTTCGTTACACAGGCGGTACCCGTCCTCCATACGCTTCACCGTGGTCTTGTAGTTCCCGACCTCCCAGAAGGAGTCGGAGGAAGGCTGAGGTAACGAGCCCTCGTCACTCGGCGCGTAGTTCGACATGGTGGTCAGGTCAGAGTTCGGAGTGTAGAATGTTGTCAGTCTTCTACAGAAAAGTTGCTATCTATAAAAATAAAAAACAACAAACAAATCATCATTGTTCTCCTTCCTTCTTTTAATATTATTGCTATTGTAATCTATTTGCACAACAACAAGCACTTTTACAAGGTAGAAAAAAATTCATTCAAGGTATTCACATTGGTAATATGATATCAAAATTTGGCCAAATGTACTAACGCCTGGATCACTACCTGTACTTGAGATGAGGTTCAGGATACATGCAATTTGATTGGATGATGCTTTTGCAAATAAAAAATCACAATCTAGTATTCATTACTATCAGGTGAAGTACATAATCAAGAGATACAAGCTACACACTGCATACATGTATACTGTATGTACAATGATATTGGTTCACCAGATTGAGATTGTAGTACATTTGTAGGTCAAGACCTCTAACCTGAATACAGGTAAAATTTCTGACAGTTTTGCATTGTATTTGCATGTAACGGAACTATTCTTAGCCTTGTCAGTGAGATGAGCTAAAACGTTGTGTGTAATTTGCCTGTTCCATTAAGTCATTAGGTTTTGAGTTTCCATCCCAAAAGACCATTACCACCGTCACTGATGGGATGATCATGTACAAATGTGGCGCAGTATTTCTGTCTGCTGACTGTTCCCAGGCCTTACAAATACAATAGCCAAGGAAATTAGACCATTCTCTTCCTCAATCTGATCTGTATACAGTTACAGACTTTAAAAATTCCATGTGTCAATGAATTTTCAGCTTAATTACTTCAAGGCGCCACACCCCAATTTATTGGGGATTTTAATTTGAAGCTGCACACTATCAGCATCAAGTCTGACTGGCTTTGTCGGGAGATAACTTCAAAGCAACATAACTGTGGATGACATTAGGATATCCTTTCAGCTAGTATAAAACCCAACCAAGTTGACATGTATTTTCTTTGATGTCTCTGATTTTAGTAATTTTTTTAAAATAAAAATTCATCTTTCTAGCCAAAACAAGGCATAGAACTGTCACATATATAAACAGGCGCACAAACATTCAAGCCAAAACAATATTTTACTCCCTTGAGTGATAATCATCTCAGCTACTGTAAAATCAGTCATATAGTCACCAAAAAGCAACTCTTTTCAGAACAACCACCATAGACTATAGGTACATACAAGTGACTGCAACAAGGCTACCAGACAGGCCTGACTTCACCCCCTTACCCACACTGCTTTGTGACCTTTGCAGTAACAAAGACCAAAATAGTCAGCATTTTGTAATACACAGATTGACAGAAATACAGACAAACACTAAGACAGAACAGCCAAACACAATACCTCTCTCTCTTTCTCTTGGGGTCAAGTAGCCAACAGTTTGTACGACGTACCTTAAGATTACTGGAAACAGCTATGGCCAATACACATTTAAAGTACAGTCATGGACATGTCTCTACTAGCTCTGTACAGTCATGTACTTGTAAAGTTGTATGTTTACATTTCATCACTCAGACATGCAGGGCATCTTGATTATGTGCTTCTCCCATTCCACACTTGACCTCAATTTGAACAGAGCATGCTGATGGTGGGATGGCCTTCGTATTTGCTATTCCTGATACATCATCATTCATACTGTGTTACATTACACGTATCCTTGCTTTAATAGCATATTGGGTAGATATACATTACAGCTAGTCTGCGAAACTGAATACTTATGTATGCAGGGCTCAAATAACCACCTGTAATCTGGTATTTACTGAAATAGATATGCTTACAGGTAAAATATCTGAACAACTGGAAATTCTGCAGTCTACAAAACCTGTACAAATGTAGTTAAGAGCCATAAATCACAAATATGCTAAGTAGCAATTGCAATTTAAATCTTAACAGTTTAAGCTACAAAGATCTGCAGTTTACAGTTACAAGGTAGTTTTTGTTGCAGTTTAGATAACTTCACATCACATAAATAAACATTATGAATAGTAGGAAAACTATTATGGAATCCAACAGCTGGAGGATCTGCAGAAAGTTTTTTCTAAATTGTACCTAACATTTCTTATAACTTGGAATATTTTACATTTTTGTAGATAACAGAAACAAGAGGTACATGTATTTTGAGCCCTGCTATGGTTCAGTTGATTCCTACTTTACATATGCAAGAAAGGTTCAAATACCTAACATTTGAGTCCACCTGTTTATACTAGGCCAACTAGGGTAATTTAAAGATCTTGCAGTCAAACAATTTGGCAACCAGCATGGTTTTTGTTGGACATGTATGCATCTGAGTTATAGGGTTAGGCTAAGTGGTAAAAGAAATATAGTGCCTGGGGGCTTTGGGGGAATCTTAACAATAATAGCTAGAGTGGGTGATGTACAGCTATGGGTATGGATACATGGCATTATTATTCATTATTGTACGACAGCAACTATATAGTATATATATGTACCTAGTATCATTACCTTCTGGGCAATGGAATAATTTTGCAACAATGGTATCTTATTTTTGCAAGCCTATTGGATTACACGTATTTCAAATTTGTTATAGACATTGTACATATATATACACAGAAAAAAGACGTGCTATTTGACACATTTAAGACATCTTGTCCACACACACCACTGTAGTGTTAATATTTTGCCCTGAGGAGCCCAACCCTAGGTAAACAGAGACTCTTTTGACCCAAATACATTTCTGAACCGCTCAAATCATATTGACAAAGAACATTTTTCCCCCACCTTCCAAGTACCAAACCCAAATGAAATATGCTGCAGGAATGTGGTGGGCACATATAGATCTAAAGCCATTGCATTGTGAGTCTGACCGTCATGATGAAAATGCTAGCCTCTACTCTGGTGGACTTCCTATCATAACACAATCTGTGCACGAACCAACAGGAGATGGCCTCCCTTACCTAAACCAACTTGCGAGCCGCTGGTATGCCGTAAGATTCCAGGTATGCAAGTAACCGTGCGGCTCTGCTTCAAGTCAGCTGAATGGTGGTGGATCAAGAAGTGACATCCAGGATACACAATGTGTGCACACAACATGGACTAGTGGGAGGAACATCCTGAAAGTTTCACACTGACTCTCCTTCCTGGAGTCGCAGACATGTCAGACTTGGCTTTTTTCATGCTAGATTGTAGAAGAAGTAAAACAACCAAGCACTCCTTCAGACTTATCGAGATGAGTGAGGTCTCCATCACAGTGTGCACTGGAAAAGGATCTGTTCTGGACATAGTTGGCCTAAAGTAATACATGGTTTGACGAAAGGCTACCACCCCTCTGCCCCCCATAATCTTGCAACAAGGAAACTTGCTGCCCTACGTGTGCCTCTTGGCACGAAGGGAACCAACAACAACTACACCAACAACTCTGGCTACAGGAATGTCAGAGCCATGTTACCTGTAACCTGTGTATCCAAGGGCGGGGTGGGGGGACACACCCAAACCAACCCCCGATGTTGTGTACAAGGAAGATCACGTTATAGATGTAATGAAGGCTATTCGTGAGGAAAGTCATGTCTAGACTAACTACACGAGGATCCTGGGATTTGTACAGGAAGTGACTGTATTGTGTTGGCATTGCTGTGGTTTGCGTGTGAGTGTGTGTGGGAGGGGGGTATGAAGTGTAGAACAGAATCCTGCGGATGTTCCTACTAAAATGTGATGTACTTTGCCCTGTAGTTACACCCTGATAATCATCCCGTTATAAAAAGGACACAAAGGTGCATCCTCAGTACGTGATAATGCACATAGTATGCAGGATATGATGGCATAATGTAGGTGTACCAAATTTGATACATAATGACGTTATGGAAATGACTCAAATGGTTCAAGTTCGAACGGATCGATGGATTATTTTGAAATCAGCGCTGTTTGCCGTTCGATATTCGTGGCTTCCGCAAAGGTCAAAACTATCCATACAAACGTCACTACCGCACCTCACGTACCTTCTGCAATCGCTTCTGCGTCGCACCTTTGCTCTCTCGTCGTTTTAAGGTACTTCCGGACACCCAAAATGTTGTAAATGTAAACAGAGCGGCCAAACCGAAGCGGCGGAATGACCAGAACTGACCGTGTCTCGAGTTTCCGACCAGGGGAACCAAGATGGCGACTTCCTTACACCGCATCAAAACGCAACACATTTCCTCATAAAAATATTTCGAGATCTGGAAGATAAGCTAATGTACAAACCAACCTATTATTTATAGCAATAGACTAATTCTCATGTAATCTTCTTTTATTGTTGTATTTATTGCTTTAGCTTAGATCTCAGTAATGAATTTGTTGGCATTAACAGACATCGATGCGGTTACATGCCGTTAAAGTTGGGCGGAGCCAGGAGCCCCTGGGTGAGTCCTGGCGGTGACATCAGAGGATTGGTCATTAATTGTATTACTAATCATATTTCATGTTTCACTCCCTCCTGTGGAAGGGAATGTTATCAACTAACTTGCAAGTATCTCTTATTTAGTCACCAACTCCAAGGTTTATTTTTGGTAACGTTATAAATGTTGGCATAACATTAATGTGTGTGTGTGTGTGCAGGTGCACATGCATGTGAAAGGCATAACTCAAGGACAAGAAGCCATGCAAGCTTGTCATGATACATGTACTTGATTTTTAACCTCCTTGGTTATGCTAAGGAGGAGGTGACCGTCCCTCTATCGGCTTGTTTTGTAACTGCAGGGATGTTTAAGTTCATAGGAGAGAACTGATTGATTTTCACAAGGGGGTGTCTGTATAATGTCCTTGATTTTCATGACTTTTGACATGATGGATAACGAGACAGGTATTTAAAGTGGAAATAAGGTAATATGATATATACTACATGTGTATATGAATACTGTAACATATAATGCATATTATGCTAAAAGTGTGACTTGTGATAATCAATTGGCAAATGTTCACATTTTGTCTGTCTGCAGCAACGTTATACCATTGATTTTCTGCAAACATCGGAGATATAAGAAATTATAAATAGTACATCACAAATGCAACATCTGGTTTAATCCTAGTAGATCTGAGGCAGCTGGTTTATTCACAGATAACACTTGTCCCGATAATGCTTTATACTTAATTCAAAAGGACTAGCTACTGTATGTGTTTAATTGTGTTATGCTTATGGTATGGAGGTGGCAGACTTCACCCCCTTTATGCAATAGCAGATGGCCTCCTCTGATGACATTTGACAAGGAGGCCCAATGATGTAATCGCCCATATTACTTTGCGACCCTTCATCCACCATGGGTTACCCTTGTCAACTTACAAATGTACATTTAATACAATAATACCATATATACAGTTTCTGCCTATTTAAAACAGAGTTAAATGAGTGTACATGTAATGTGTATTCGTCTATGTAACATTACTGTACTACTATAACATGATACTTTACCACATTGTATTTCTGGAGCTTCCAGTCCTACATGACATCTTAGATCTCCTTAAACAATCTATTGCTAGTTTTGCAAAACCCATGTTGTGTACATGATGCAGAGCACAAACAACAAAGGTACCGGTATACACATTTTACTGAGGATTCAACACGTGGCATCCTTAAGTGAATGAAATTTTTATTTTCCAAGTATCATACATTAATATCAGGCAAGAATGGTGTCAGAGAAATACTCTTTTACATGTTAAATCAAGATGTATTGATGTAACCTATGTCAATTTTAAAGGTGTTGTTAGTGGAAGGAAATTTTATTTAAAAGCCTGTATGTGCCTCCTAGCAATACTAGAAACAATTGTTCAAACACATCACTGCACTGTAAATTGTATATTCAGCACATTGCAGATATGGCTAAATAACACCACTTTTAAGAAGGAGTTAGGTATAATTTTTGTGTACAGTTTATTTTCTTCTTCAATGCCCAGAAATGTTGGGGCTTTTGGGCTATTCTATACAAAACTAGTTAAGCTGAAAATTGGAATTTAGTAAGATTGCACAAAAATTGTGAAATAGTCATTTTTTTCAATTATTGCCTGGCATACTGGCCATTTTCACAAAAAATCCAACTGGTTTTGTTTTGTTTTTCGCTACTGACCACAACATTCCAGTACTGTAATAAAACAAGGTTCATACAACACTGTACAAAAATTCAGGAATAATCCATTCCGCTTGTGATGAGGGTTAACTTTTGCCATCTTTTACAACAGCCAGGCAGGTAACACAGGCCCATTACCAATAAAACTTGACTTGGTAAAAAAGCGAGGAATAAGCCGTCTACCAAATATGTTACTTTCACCACAGCAATGATCACAAGCATTGATAAAGGAAAAATTACGCAAGCTATTTGGGTTAATTTTCCTAGCATTCTAACAATACTTAAGCTTAATTGCCTACAGAACAAATGGGCCAGTAGTTAACTTCTACTTGTAATCACTACCTAGGAGTTGCATTGGATTTGTTGGATCATAAGTTCAGAAGAACAGTCAACAAATAAAACAATAAAATCTTCAGCTATATGTTCATGCCTCCATTAGTGAATCTAATATCATGTTATCATAACACATAGCGATACCTGTACTGTGGTGGGCTATCAGTTAAGTCTACACTAACAAAACAATTATTCTTTATTTCTTAAAACCAATTCAAAGTACAATTCATCTTAGCGATCAATCTATGCACCTTTCACTTGTTTTATCTGTAGTCACATCATTTCATATTTCTTGAAATTTTCTGCCAAGTTCACATAAGATCACATTATACCACTAGCTTGGTGAAAAAAACATGTGCTGCATTGGTGTTTTGTAATTCTTAGTATCAGTCCAGGGCCTGTCAAACTTTATCAATATTTATGGCTGTAGTACATAGAATAACCATTGCTAGTGCAAAAGTATGAATACAGTTAAATCAGTGTATGTGTGAGAACTCCTGCAGTACAGCTTCCTGCTGCAAGGCGGCGACATTGATAGACTTTCTGAAGTCGGATATAATTGAACGAACCTGCAGAAAAAGGGAAAACAGCTTATTTGTAAACAGAAGCAGAACAAATGACATGATTTTCTTGTGGTTTTGTGGAAAGGTATGTTATGTTTCTTGGTAAATATCTAGAATAAAGTTGGATGTAAAAACCCACTTGTTGAGAATAAACCTTTTTATACACTTTATACATTTGTATATGGAGTCAGTTATAGCCATATGAAACTGTGTTCGACTCACCAGCTGTGTGAAGAATGCCGACTCCTTGGGTTTTTCGGCGTATCTCTCGTACTGGTCCAGACTTTCCTGCAGTTTCAGCGTCAACGTGTCGTAGTTACTACGGACAACCTCCAGAACCTGGGAAGTGAAACAAACAGTGAAGGTGATCTCAAATAAGTGTACGGCTTATACAGGTTGACAGTACTACAGAAATTCCCTTTAAGCTCTTTTTGATAACTAACAGTAACCTTGGACCATGGTTATAATGTCCTGTCCAAAGGACCGGGACCCTTTCCAGTAGTGTGTGAGTAACAACTTCTTGGTCCAGAGCTACCTGGAATTGTATATTAAGTTGGATCAAGCATAATTGCAATTTTGATGTCAAATAGCTACCTTTGCAGGCTGAAGTTAAGGATATGTTAACATACATTTGTGCAAGGTGAAAAGTAGAAACTGAGTCTCCTTACTTGGTCTTCTGTCAGGGAGGACAGATGATTTGCTGCTGACCAAGAGTCGATCTTGGGCGTGAAATGGTTAACTATTGCCCTGGAAATAGGACGAAAGGGGTTAAAACTGGAGTAACCTGACATACATATACAAAATGTATTTCCTCTCTGTGGATATCACTAGGTGATGCAAGTTTCAACAAATTAAAGTTAATTTCATACAATTTCTTACCATTCAACTCAACTGCATGTGATGAAAGGATGGATTTGATCATAAGATAATAACCTACCTGATGTTGACCAGTGCATTGGTCAGTCTGGTAGCCGAGTCTTTGTGTTCCCCATGGTTAGTAGCATGTCTTAATGCTGGGTGGAACAAAGACAGTATCATTGTCAAAAATGTTTTCAAACACATGTAACAGAATTAGCATGGTCTACATTGTGTGTAAATATAGAATTCAGCTTACCCATGGAGTAGAGGTTGTCAAAGACCGTGTGCATGCGGATAATTTCATAGTACAGCTCATCGTAGCTAGTGGGGGAGGGCAGGAACGTGTCGCCATAGGTGATGAACAGGTTGAACAAATTCACAACCTGTGGAGAAGAGAAGGATGGATTCATGATATCCTGGTTTACACAGACTAGTTACATTACACATTTTGTATCATCTAAACTGAAAACAAAATCATATTATAGAAAAAATATCAATGCATTTTCTGAAGGAATATGTAATCGAGTCAATGATTAGAGCTGCAATACCTAGTCATACACAGATAGTATACTTGTACATACCATGTACATACATACAAGCATCTCTAAAGGTAAACATAATCTGTATCATTAACACAGATACATACCTTGATGGCTAGGTAGAAGATGTTATGTCTGCTGGCCAGGTGAGCCTCCTGGGCTATCATGAACTTCACCAAATTGATAAGAGCTGTAAAATACAAGTAAATGTACATGGATTTGGGCTTCAGATCGCTCCAAACTGTGGCAGGACTTGTAAAAAGTGATGAAGGTAAAAAACTAAAAATTATACTGCTCCTTTACGTATGGCCTGAGACGATACTCAGAAGTACATGTAGATGTGCATTTAGATGTAGATGAAGATATGACAAAACACAAACCTGTCCACAGGTCCTTCCAGGTGTACTGTAACCTCACCCTGCACTTCTTCTGGTAACACAACAGTCTGTGGACAATCCCCAGGCACTTCCTGCAAACAAGCCAGAAAACTACTGTTTATGATTGCAACTGCAAGCATTTCACCATTGTCCCTCATAAGGGTTCTTTTACAGATTTACATAATAAAGAGTATCTTAATTTATTTCTTAATCTGTTCTTCACATTAAGTCTGAAAAGGTAGACAGCGGCTAAATTTGTAAAATTTGCAGGATATTCATGCAACTGCAATTTACAAATCCTCCTAACCTTAACCTCAGCATTCTAAGGTGGTCATTTGACACCTAAATTTGTATTGATAATGGAGTTAGGCAGTAGAGAGGTTAAGCAAGACAGATGTGTGTTTACATCACACTAGAACTAGCCCATTTTGAAAGTGGTTTGTATATAATACCATGGTAATAACTTACATGTAGAGTTCCATGGGGAAGTCCTTCATCATGTGGGTCACTATAAACTCAACTGTCAAGTCTGGAGAAAAAAATTACATGTTATATGCTAAACTTAGTGGATCAACATATAAAACATAAAAACAGGGTGAAACTCTTCTATGTGAGAAGGCTGCTTCTTCTGTACATAACCAGTATTCACAAGGCAATCAGAGTTTTAAAACCTTCCTAGTCCCAAAGACAAAAATGGCAGCAATATAGATGATGTATGGCAATGCTGCATTGTAAATTTTGGGACTTGCAAACACACAGACAAATGGGCAAGGCAAACACAAAACTTCACTAACTTGGGGTGAACTAACAATTGCATTTTGATGATGTTCTTTCTCCTCTATGTTTGATTGTCACAATACTTGGCATACTGTATAGTACAATACATGCTGTTCAAACAAATGCCTGTAAGTTATTGTCATACTTACCTAACCATGCACATGCCAGAGGCCTAGAAGAAGTGTTTGGTACAGCAATCTTTCTGTGTCTCATAGGCTGGAGAAGGGAAGGGGAAAACATAATTATGTACATTTATATTGAGTTTCATGGCAATTTTTATACTAACAACCTTGAAATGTCACTCCACCATTATCATCCAAGAATCAGTTAAAATGCTTTGATCCAAAAATCTCATTTTGTTATTTCAGATGAGACTGATGAATCTGACACAAATTATCATCAGGCCACACCAATTTAATTTGTTGGTTCTCGGATTCGCCTCTTCATTTTTTTCTGATTTGCAAAAAAAAAAAAAGATTCTGGTTCTGAATCAACTCAAAAATGCTCATATTTTACCCCCAACAGTTGAGGAAATTCCTTTTCTTCCTAGTTGTTACAGTTTTTTCCATCTATCAATGCAGTGGTTTGATTAAAAGTTCAAAATCTATACATGTACTTTAAATTTTAACCCAGCCTTTTTTGTTGACTTCATGGCTCATATTGTAGCATTTGGGGCTATAATAGGATGCCTAGACCTGTTTTTATTTTTATTTTTTTTCGCCCTGTCGCTTCATATTTTTTCTGAAAAAATCCGAGAACCAACAAATTAAATTGGTGTGGCCTCAATAGCACAATACCAATTCTTAACATGTTCATAAGACTTACCATTCTATACAGTTGCACCACAAAGTTCATATTGGCGTCATGTAGAAATGAATTTGCATACTGATCCTGAAAACAGGTGATAAGAAACACATTAAAGCTGGCCTTCTGATATTCAGACAAGTACAACAACATATAATAATATCTACATTACAACTGGGAAGACTAGAGGTGGATGTATGCATTTGTATATGTCATATGATAGAATGAACACAAGCATCAGACCCTTACCTCAGCTATACATGTAAGGATGACCAGACAGAGCTTAAAACTGCATAGTCTTTGTTCGTCTGAAAAAACAAACAAACACTGGCTGTCATTATAGAGCCAAAATGAACTAGGATAGCTGAATGTGAAAATATCTTCAGATAACAAGCAAACACACAAACAATGAAAACATAACTCCGTACATGGAAGTTACTGAATGAAACCCATGCCTTACCTTTGATATCTTGCATAACAATGGAGCAGTACTGGAGGAAGGTGACCATGTGGTTGGTGGTCTGACTGGAGTCTGGTGGAGGGGTGGATGGTAGTGGACCTGTACATGTACAGATAGGGGAGAAACCTTAGTGCTCAAAGTTTACATGTAACAGGATTAAGTGACATAGGTTATTTCAACTTCAGAAGGATCAGATGACATGAAGTGTAAGATGAAGAAGCACCTTGCACTGCCTCGCCACCTTGATGATCTGCCTGGGGCCCCAGCTCATCTATATGAAGAAATGGCAAGATGAGGCTGAATATGTCAAGGAGTTGTTTTGACAAAACAACAACTTCATCAAGGCATCTGATGGATGTGTTATCAGAATTCAGTGCAATAAAAACTTGTATACATCATCTCTTTGGACACAACTACATGGAAACTATATCATTATTGTCAGATACATCTGTCATGTTGAACTCACCTTCTCTTGTTCCCTCCACTGCTCGTGTGGTTGTTGGAGAGGAGGGACCAGAGGACGACTCTGTGTGACTCTGCAGAAAAACAGAAAGAAGAGTTTGATCAAACATGTGACAAACATGTGAAAGTGATCTTGAATCAATTTAGCTCAAATGAACTCAATGAACAGTTGCTTAATGTGCGGGTGCACATCGGGTGAGCAACAAAGCCAGGATATGACTTCTTGTTCCAGAGGCTGGGTCACTAACCACTAGACTATGCAGCTACACTTAAGACTGACTGACGCACACACACACACACACACACACACATATATATATTATACATTTTAAGACTATCAGTTCCTTACTGTTGTGAGCACTGTGATGAAATTCCTGTTCAGATGAACTGCTTCATACAGAGCTAGTAGAATGGAGTCATTTGTTCTGAAAGGACAAAAATTAACATACCTTGACTAAAAATACTTGAACTGAAGTAAAATTCAATATACATGAGACCTAAGAAATTCTGAAGGCATTGTACGGACAACAAGAAAATGAGACGCTATGATATGCTTGTAATTTTGTTGATCTCTGCAACTTGAAAATACATCTACATCGTTCTGCTACTTTAGTGTACTAGCAGCATGCAGCGCCACCTTGCAGATTAATTTGGAAGTGCACTGAGGACCAAAATTCAGACAAACATGTTAGAAAAACAGATAAAAAAGGATATGATGACATGTTGGATATAAGTCCTTACAAACTTACCTAACTTTTGCACTGACGCTGTCCGAATCCCCAACAAAGATATTGCCAACCTATGAAGTCAGAAGTAGGTTAATTAATTATTCATGATATGATAATGAGCTTCTGTAAAAGTTGGAAAAACCTGTTAAATTCCTTACTGAAAACAACACATGGGTACAAGTACCCATGTAAAACCCTTGTAGAATTATATCTTACATAAACATGCCACACCGACACACTGTGGGCCTTGGAATTGATCTAAATTAAACAGATAAGATTCTCAAAAGACCACAAACATATGTTTTTTGCAACAATACATTGCACATCCTGCTACCTGTGAGAGCTGATCCTTCTTAGGTCAATAGGTATGATGAGTGGTTCCTCATGCCTGTGCATGACAGGTGTTGTCCCACCATTGTTACGCATTCAACACCTGAGCCCTCTGACCTTTGATTTACACTTGGAAGGATCCATCTATTCTACTTGCCTCCCTTGGTACAATGCAGTCCAAGCTGACCACTTTTTCACAGTCCCTGCTCAAGGAGGCCACCTGTCCAAGAAGACTACTTTACCCTGGGCCTCAGGGTGGGTTTTTTTGGTCAGGTTTGATGTACATTGTAGTAGAGTGTACACAAACTGCAGACAGAGATCTATTATGACTTACCATACTCGTTATGGAAGATAACCATCCAGTCTGAGGTTCTTCCTTTTTCTCTTTGTATTTTCTGTTGAAATCTGTCAGGGCCGATGATATCACCCATCCAAGACCCTAGAGAAAAATCAGGAATTATATCATTTGACCTTTTTCAAAACGTGTTTGTAATAAAACACTTTCTAACCTTACATTATATAAATATAGAATGAGATGATAGCGACTTACGTTTAACGCTAGTTCATCGTCGAGAATAGACAGCTTTACAATATAAGGGTTGACTGACTGGAAGAGAAAGAGGTGATATTGATGTAAGTATATAAAAACTGTACTATCAATATTCTGCAAGACGTTACCTTTTAGATATGATGTTTCTCTTCTTTTACATATGAAGCTTCTTCTCTATTTTCTACTGATACTTGTAACATATATGCAATGTCAAATTTTTGTCCTTGCTTTGCATCTCATGATACGGTCAATCTTGAAATCTTGAATTATAAATCAGGCTAGTACATGTATGCTGAATTTGTGGCTCCTATGGAAGCATTTGGGGCTATGACAATATGCTTAGATCTGGTTTTTTTGTGTGTACCATCCCCTTCTTTGATTTGAAATCTGAGAACCAAAAAATCAAATTTGTGTGGCCTTATGACTAGACTAGACCCACTTACAACTACATGTAAACTATAGTCTTGCAGATGAAAAATAAGTGACATGATGAATACCCTACCTCATACTTTCTATAGTTGACCAGTATAGTTAGCAGCAAGAGAGCATCATGTCCATGGATTTGCCTAGACATTGGATTTGCTAATATCTGCAAAAACATAGATATCAAATGAATGTTACAGATTTTGTTTCATGATAATAAATATACAGCATACTTAATGGCATGAACATAATAACAAAGATTTTATCATCAGGATATTACAAATTTTGCTGCCAATATCATACAATGAGCACCTTCATGTGTGACAAACATGTGAAGATAATTCTGGTCTCTACTACAAGAATGATTTGATTTCCTGTTGTTTTCACAGTACATAGCATACATGTGTTTTCTAAGTGAATTATACACACCTGTACAACTGACTCAAACACACTGTTGATCATGATGTACTCCAGTATTGTGTTCTGGCTCACGTTGTCTGTTGCCTGGGTTTGAGAAAACAATAAAGTTTACCATCCAAAAATGTGTACTTTGAATAATGCCAATGTCTATCAACGATTTTGGGAAGTTGTTGGGAAACAAGCCTATGCTATATTGAAATGTTTGTGATGGTTTTACTTCTGCAGTTTTTGTATTGACCAATATACACCATGAAATTATGACACTGCAAAACATGCTTTTCTTTTGTATTACTACTGTCCTTTCAACTGCAACCTTCAACACTGCAAAAACCTCCTTTCCATTCCTTCTGCAAAATTAAGTCCACGCAAAAATAAATGAATTAACTGTTGATTACTTACAGTGGCAAGGATGAGGAGTAACTTCAGGGAGAGAGTCTTCAGACCAGCTGGGTTTTCTCCAGTCAGGATAGAGTGGACACTTTCTATCAGTCTCTACAGAGGTAAAGGATGTTGATAGTTTCTTGTGAATAAAGGAACAAAAACATTTAACAATACCTGTAATGACTGTAAGATGAACATAACATTTATTAAAAACTTTATGAGTTATTTCAGCATCATAAGCTAGCCTGTTTTATTACAATTTCTAATTATCACGGCCTGACCAATAGTAGGGCTGGCTGCTAGAAGTGTGGGTCTAGCATGACAACCTACCTGCATCTGGACCTCGGCAGCATCAAATCCGACCAGAATGTTGATGATGTCAAAACCATAATCCCCCAGACTCTTACCATACACACCCCGGATCAGTGCACACATGGTCTGAAAAACAACAACAATGGTTTAATGGTATGTATTGTTCGTGTATAATTGTTTTTATTGGTTTAATCCCCTTTATTGAGCACATTTGTATATCTTATTCTTCCAGTAAAGTTGTTCTATTGTGACCTTTTCCAGTAGTGTGCATGTTACGTAAACAACAACAGCCGGGATTTGGATTTCCAACCTCTTGGTCCTAAGGCAGGACTGCTAATCACTGGACTATGCACGCTTCTATAACAACAATGTAGAAAATACAGACTGACCTGTAGAGCATTGACCACCCTGATCTGGTAGTCTTCTTTAAGGGTTAGAATGCATCTGTGGAAGAGCAGGTTGATGTTGTCCTGTAAGAAGATTTGACATTTATGTTTATATAAAAAGATTTGAGATCAGTCAGTGTCAGACTACCTGTATCAGACTACATGTAGTAATACTTGTATCTGTAATTTAGCTGCACAAGCTTTGCAGGCACGCGGTGGCTGCTTGTGAATGAAATGTCTGAATGAAATGTCACAACTTACTCAAGATGTTTTTTGAAGACAACCAGTGAGAATGCCCCTACTTTGTGCAGTGAGTTCCACTCTAATATAATTCTAGGGAAAAATTTGAACATCCCAACCCTTTCTCACCTTTAATGCAACAAGTTGCTCTGGGGTCATTTTTGAGAATGTCTTCTCTATGTATGCAACATTTGCCTGTAAGAAAAGTAGGAAACATGTTATGTTAAATTACAACAATTTACTTTTAAAGAAATCATGATTTTAAATGAGAGACAACAGATAGTCTAGTCAGCCTGCTAAGGTAGCCCATTTCATCACAGGATTACAGTAGCATACACAGTAGCAGAGAGAAAGTTAATTTGAGAAGAATTGGAAACTTCTTGCCTTCATTAAGAAAAATTCATCCCAGAAGTTGGGGTTTCCTAAAGAAGGATCCTCTCCCTGTAGTGAAGGTAAAAAAATAGCAACACAAGTGTAAATGATGTACAATTTGTATCCAAAAACTTTACAAGGAATACTGTGACATCTATAATGACACAAGTCCTTGTATTTGCGGAATTTCTTCATAATCTTCAGCAATTATTACTACCTGAGGGTTCTTCATAGTCTCTATTTTCTACAAGATGTAATTCAAGATACAAGTACTAGTTATATTGTTATTCATATAACGTTAGCTACTGTACCTCTGTAAATAACTTCACCAGGTTTGAAAATTAAATATAAGATATTGGAACTATTCAACCACAACCAAATGGCAGGTGATAAGAGTTTGGTTGTGGTAAAAGAATTTAACAGTCTCACCTTGAAGAAAGACTCATAGATCTGCACCACCTTCTCCTTGAGTGGTTTCTTGGAGGAGGATCCCTTCCTCAGTAGCCCAGACTCCTTGTCCTTCTTGTCAGCTTTTTCTGGGGTTGTCGTCATGTTGAAGGCTAGCTGGTGTCTTCCCTCGCAGTAGAAGTGTTTTTACTCATCGGCTCTAATATATAAAGAGAGAGAGAAAATTAGAATGTTCAAATCAACACAGTCACATTCAATTTGTAACATACAAGGTTCAAAATAAATTTTTGCCTCTTTTGGGAATACCTTAAAGTGAAAACCTGTGACCTCACGTTATTTAGGTTATACAGGAATATTCAACATCTGACTACACAATGACCTACTTGGACTACTTTACGGATGAGATCGTAGAGGACTGTTGGGGTAAAAAAAATGACCCTAACCAAGGCCCTAACTGAACTCTCACCTGTAAAAATTATGATGATACGACAAGTGCCCAACTTTGTCAGGAAATATCACACGACTTCATCTATCTATTCGGGCTGCCTGTCGTGTTTTTGTGGGACTCGAAGTTAGGGAAACAGTCGGGAAACTGGCGTGCAAGACTTTCTTCCACCTCAAACGTATCCAACCTGCCCCCGCCCACTGCTGTGTGATAATTTTTCGGTAATCGCCCCACAAAGTGAATTGAAACGAAGAGGAATTGAACTTCAAGTCCACATCTTAGCTAGAGACCTTCAGGTCTAAAAAGTGCAATATTTCTTACCAGAAATGTTGACTAATTCGTAAAGTTTAGAATGACAAAACAGGGGAGAACAGGGACGTCTGCAACATGGCCAACATGGCCAACACATGCGTGACGTCATCAGACGCAACCATTTATAAAACGGTAAATAATATCAAAGTAAAATACTGCTTTAGATATACAAAAGATAATCTTCAAGATAGTTTGATATGTCTAAGTATGAATACTTGCAATAAGGTCGTTGTGTTTCTTTTCTCTGACTTTTCAATAGCCTATGCTGATAACACAGCCATACCTTTCGCGGAGTGGACGAACCCAAATGTCAACTAGAGTTCGGCGTTGGGCTGTTCCAAAAATAAATATAAAGGGGGTGTGGAACAACAACAACGAGTGGAAGTAGATCTTTGTGTGGCAAAGTTGCAACCAACCGGCAAGATACGCATTATCCAACAGGCTATTTTTCGGCAATGAAGCGGCAGATACAGACAGGTTTCTTAAGGCCTGCATGTTTTCCGTGAGGCGAATAACGAGGTATTTTAATCCAACGTTAACGTTACCATTAATCGTAGCCATTGTGCTTTAAATCAACAAAAGTTGGCATATCAATATTATCATGTGTTCTAACTGCAAAGACCCCAGCGCGCAGTTTTCTAAATAGCGACGCCCAGCGACATTGGTGCGGAACAACATCCACTCTTCCATTCCTGTCCCTGGTGCTGAACAACATTCACACAACCATTCCTGTATGATCTGGTAAACAACATTGACACATCCATCCCTGTCCCCGGTGCTGAACAACATTCACACAACCGTTCCTGTCCCTTGTGTCCAACATCATTCACAAATCCATCCCTGTCCACAGAAGACAGTGATTCGTAGTCGCCATCAAAATAAATGTGAATATGACGTCATCTGGCGTCAACATGAGAATACCTGATGGACCGCACGTAGTGTTCAGGTGACAGAAAACAGCGGAAAAAGACATACTAGTATCTATCTGTATCTATATAGCCAGTAGAAAGTCAGCGTCACGCTGGCAACGACAGAATGTCGCCGAATCTCAAAATAAGCTCCTGAGAGTATCCAAGTATCCAACGTAATCTTGCCTGAAAATCTACTCTGCCACATTGAACGGGGCTCATTGACCTGAAAATTACGTCGACCAATCCCTAAAAATCAGGCAGTCATCTAGAGGACACCGGTCGTATTGTCGCTGTAAATGTCCATTTGACTGGCCGGGCGAGCTATTATCCAGCTGTGTGACGCCGGCTTAACCACCCTTCTGCATAAAATACCCGCTTTGATATACCCATTCCCTGCAAGGGATAGAAACATGAGCACATCTAGAACATTTCACGAGTACAAATTAAACAGATCGTTTGTTTCTGACTCCGTAATCACTTGTAATGCAATAATGATTCCGCAGTAGCCCAAATGAGATATTCGTAGAACTTGTCAACCGATCTTTTAATTAGCCCCATTTATCGGCTTCCTACACAACCAATAACAATTACTTGCAAGTGATTTAACAGCCTAGAGAAACTATTCATAGATACTCCATTCAACGTTGCACTTAACATGATGGCGAGCGTCTATGAACCAGACTGAATAGAGAAACGTTAACGTTATGTTATCTCAACTTATCGAGTGTGCTACAGAGAGGAAGCTTACAGGATAAGCCAGATATACGATTGACTCTGAAGCCGAGTAGCAATGGATCTCTAGGTCATCTTCATTATAGCTCAATTGTCCGAAATGATGACCACAGGCTTACTTCGGTTAGGACAGAAAATTGCTCGTCGTCAGTCAGACGGTATTAATTTTGGATGCATACAAGCAGACAACAGAGACAGCTGACATGGAATTGAGTTGTTTGCCCTTTGGACGTGAACAGATCTAGACTCGGCAAAGATCGTGGGGAAATGCGAGGGAAACCAAGATTGTTAGGATCGGTGTTTTGCGTTCATGGTTCAGTCATCTCTGTCAGTTGCCGTAAGAAAAGGATCTGCGTGACAAGAATGTATTCTGTTTGACCCTCGATTTATGGGTGCCACCATATTGACTAGCAACGTCATGGGTCGGCCATCTTAAAACCTATGCAAATTAAGAAATAACCCTCTCGAACGAAGCTACATAATGTAATAAGTATGAATTCAAAAGCTCCTATATGTAGCACAATTGAAATATATATTTTCGCCATCAATTAATGCAAATAAAGCTATCTGCATTATCTGCATACTATTATGTTAGTCTTCATCAAAGAAAAATTCATTCCTCCTTCTTTTACTTATCCTGTACTGTTTGAACTAAAAACGCCCTTGCCGTTTAATTCCCATGGCCAAGGATGTAGGTACAGATCCCAAAGTTATGCCACTTCTTTCCGAGCACAAGAATTATCTACCCGACTTAAAAGTCGTGACGGAAATACGAGATACGAGAAAAACCAGAAGTACTTTGTCAGTACGTAGGAAAGCCACCAGAGGGCCCAATATCTAATAATATTCTTTGATCATGATAGGACAATACCTACCGACCTATCCATCAGTAGCTTCTTGAATTAGAATTCTTTGCATGCAAACACTACCGGAAGTATAACCTTTCTAACGAAGGTAATAATAATAACATAGGCTACACAGCACATGCACGTAGTGAGCTATGAAAGCTAAGTCATAAAACCTGCTAAAGGAGGCTAGGAATAATCTTCAAGCAGATCCTCCCCTGGTAAAACCGCAAGTTAACTACCGGCCAGGAGTAGGTCCATTTAATAGCCACGGAAGATTTCGTGGCCAATGGAGCAACGGATTACGACTATACCACGAGAAGATCTGCTTGGAGATTATGCAAGAACTCAAGCCCCAAGCGGTACGGACTCGCATACATGCATGGTCGAGTCAGTCAAAGTGATAAAACATAAACCATTTGCCTTGACCTGTTCGTTCACATTTAGTTCAGTTGTACCCAATAGCCCGGTCTCACGCGCGCTGCATTAAACATGTATGCAGGGATGAACCATCGATCTTCACACAATTTATTCTGAGTAGTTATCAGCGTTGAGACCACATGGCTTCTCCCGCCATTTTTGCTAGAAATGGTGACACAAAAACTGCGCATGGTTATCTAGATCTCCAAGTAAGTGCTGGATTAAAACATCACAACGTTTACTAAATTGTCGGGATTTTCTGGCGGCCAATCCGTGTTTCGAAGCGAGCGGCCGCCAGTGAAGCCAGGCTATCAGAAAACGTTATCATCTTCAACCCGAACATCTGCTTGGAGATTAATATGAACGCATCAACCCAAACGCACCCAAAACCTTAGTCAGGTTTTTCAACCTATCTACTTTCACTCTCATTTGTTTGTAGTTTTGAAAAAAAAAATCTTTTACATGTAATTATAGTAAAAGTCAGGAGGGCTCGGCGTTGGATGTATTTCGGCTCCTTGTTCTGTAAGAGAACGTCTTTAAGTCTTCTTCGCGTTTAGTTGTAGCTCGGATTTCATCCCGCGGTCGGAACAAAAATGTGAGGAAGTCTTGAAGAAACGACGGTCTCAAGAAACAAGGAGTGAGTCTTCTTTTCTTCTTATCTCTCGATTTGGCACATCTCAACGTCTGTCTTGGGGTGAAATATTTCCCGTGATTATGTATTTAGGTCCAACAAAGCAGCGTGTACGCGAGGAGCTGTGGTACATATGCGGGGAAAAAAGCTTAGATTTGTGCAGGATCAATTTTCAGTAGAACACCATTTCTCATCATCTCCAAGCAGAAGTGGGGATGGACGATCGGAACGTACATGTCAGGATGAAACTTTCATTGAATGATATGTTCTTGTAGCAAGTACAAAAAGGGGGCGGGGTGCTCTTACATAGAGGGGAAATCTAGTGCTGTCAGAGAAGCCAGGAGTCAGCTCTTCTAACCACAACATCTGCTTGGAGATTTATACGTGTGTGAACTAAAATTTCATGACTGTTTCATGTACTGAAATTAATAGATGTGAGCTGAAGTGAAACCCACCGGATGCACAACCCATGCCGTTTTACTGCATAAGATCCCCCATCATTACCTCTAAATTGATGATGAAGCTATATCTAGTATGTCACTTGACGACTGGGAATATAGCAAATGGATTTCCGCAGTGGCCTGATGTATGATGTGATTACCTGCAGAGGATATTGGGTTTGTCTGTTTTTGTTTGTTACTTTATAACAAGAAATATTGTTTTTGGCATGTCAGTCTGTCTGTGTATGTTTCTGAGTTTTCAAAATCAAAATATGGAGAATGTGACATCTTAGGAGATGCTCTTTTTATCAGTCCCTTGGGGTTGGAAAACACGTATGGTGAGTGAAGTCAGAGTGCTATCTCTTATTGCATTGTTGCAATATTGGGGTAATCAAGCTGACTGATCTACATATATAATACTGCTGTAAAGTGTGGTAAGGGATGAAGTCTGCCATCGCTGCTTGTCTTGTTCTGTTGTTGGAACAACGGAAAGCTCTTCAATTTAAATATAGCTTTCTTAGGTGCAGTCAACCTTATTTCAGAATGATTTCAGATATTTCAGAAGCTGTTCCGCAGCCTTCATGGTTATATGCATTTTCCTTGTCATATTGTCATGTAATATAAGGAGAAAGGAGAAAAAAATTTGCCCTGATGAAGGCACTGTAGTACAGCTTCCAAAACAACGGTACAGAAAAAAGAGGTTGTGTATCTAAGAAAACTACCTTGATTAACCAACCTGACTGAACTACGTGTATTTACAGTGGGAAGTGCTGTGCGGAAGTTCAAGAGGAGAAAATCCTCGGCTCAGATCGAGTTGACAGGAGCCTCCAACAAAAGTGGCCGTGGCTGGACAGCCAGGAGACGGGCGAGCAAGGCGGTGTCTGCCATCATCCAGAAGACAGGAGGAGGTAGGAAACAGTCTACACAACCTTAACATCGGGACGACGTTTTTATTTTCCAATAGATTATGATTTTAAGAAGTAAAGAAATGCAAGAAGTACACACTACTAGTAGTCCTCCAAGAGAACATGAGATAGGAATATCAAATAGTCAAAACAATTTCCCTGTAAAAG